TTGTAATCTCCATATTCCTTTCGACTCTACTATCCACTATTTCGATTAAATTTTATTTTGCCAACATTCATCATTGCGAGGTATATTTTGACAGACTGTCTTCTGCGGTATTTATTACCAGTTCGATAATTACTTCTCGGCATTATAACTTTTGCTCACACAAATAATGCAGAAATATTGAAAAACGCAAATGTCACTGTCGGAATACTGAAGTAAACTGAACAAAAACAATATTCCAATCCCCTGTGTATAACACTAATTCCAGGATTTTCGGACCCTTTATGTCCGCCGCTTTTATGCTCACCGCCTTCATGTCCATCGCTTGCCGCTTGCCAAACATGTTCAATTGTTCAATCTTTTATCATCTAATTGGGTGAGTCACCTGGAGCGAAACTATTATTCTTCAATGAGAGATTCCTCTGTTTTTCTATTTCCAGAAGGCAAATTCTTAATGTTGACAAGAATATTAAAATATATGTAACTCGTATATTATATAATACCAGTTATTACCTAGAATAAATATGATGGAACTTCTGGCATTCCTTATATTCGCATTTTGAAATTGTAATTGGGGTCCTACCTACAAACCCTACGTATTTTTATGGGTTACCTAATAAACGTGCCTATACGTCGTATTCAAAAATCCAATCAACCCATCTAAAACTTCTTTTGGTTTCATCTCCAGTGCTAAAATTTTCTGAATAGCTTCAGTGCTACTTTTTATGAATGAATCCACTATTCATTCAACCATTCATAGTATCCATGTAGAAGTGCATATTCGTGTGAGGGCGCTCGTATCAGTGAAGAAAAATGATCCAAAATTGCGTCTGCAGAGGTCCAGCAAAAATCACTTTTGATGGTGATATTTTGAATGGATCCTTGCGAATTTTTTTGACAACGAAGATAAATGTATAAGTGAGGCATCTCTCGAAGTACTTTTTGAAAAAAATATATACCTAGTGAGAAAAAAAATAGTGAATCTGGTCAATTTTCTGGAATTTTTTTCGACTATTTGTTTTCAAAATTTTGAAAAAGTACTCCGAGAGATGCCTAGATCCAACCTTCTAGAAACGATCCGTGAAAAAAAATCTTGAATTTATTCAGCGAGCTTCGAGTATTTTGATTTCTGCCGTTCCTTGTTTCCCCAATGATCGCTCATAGGGTTAAACCCCTCTTAAGTCAAAATTAGGAAATTCAAGATGGCGAGTCCAATATGGCGAACGATTTGAGTTCCATTCAAAATTTCTATCTGGAAGTTTGGGAAGTTGAAGATTTTGATTCTCTCAAAATTAGAAAATTCGAGGTTGCGGATCTAATATGGCGGACTGGTTTTGTAATTATGATGTTATTCTGTTCAAAATTGGCATCTATGGGTTTATGGGGTCGGAGACTATGACTCTTCCGTCAGAAATAGGAATCTTAAAATAGCGGATAGAATTAGGCGAACTAGTTTTGCGATTCTATTCAAAATTGATATCTGGGGTTTCCGTCGTCAGAGATTATGATTCTTCCTTCAAATTAGGAAATTCATGATGGCCGATCTAATATCCCAGACAAGTTTCATAATTACGATACAATTCAATCAATAAATGGTTTCTGAGGAATATCTGGGGGTTCAAGTGGTCAGAGAATATGATTAATTTCTCAAAATTGGAAAATCCAAGAATAGAATATACAATATGGCGATTGAGCTTTGTAATAAATAGAAGTTGAAAGAAATAAAGAAACATGCTTTCATAGATAGCCAAACTGAAAAGAAACAGAAAATGAATAGTTGTTTGAAAAACTACAGAATCGCGATTCTATAGATAGCCAAACTAATAAGAAGAATACAATAAAATACTGAAAGTGTGTGTGTGAAAATGCTCAGTCACGTCGAATGGTCTTCAAAAGAGCTTTTCTTTCCAATATGAACTTTATGCCAATGCCAACCTTCTTATCTTGAATGCAACACCCTGTATATCATCGACATTTTGATTTATTCAGAAAAATTCAGACAAATTACATATATGTACCCATCTTCAACGTTTTCGGAAATTCATAATTCTCCATAGGTTTTTGATTACTCACATGGAAAGAAACGCCGAAATGGTTTTTGCTTATTACCTCATCATCGAGACCTAACTGAAAAATAGGTATTGAGTATGTCGTATCGCATTTCTGAAATCGAATATTTTTTTACAATAATATTCGCAATACATTTTAAAACACTTAGTACATACAAAAAGTAATGTCTAGAATTGTATGAGGGATGCAAAAATTGAATATAGTAGTACATCTTGTTGAAAATTTCCGGTCCATATCGTCTTAGTTCCAGTCCACAAATTATACACACATTATTTTCAAGAGTAACAGTAGTCAATAAAAAATTGCGACGCTATAACAGACCTCTGGAAACGTGGCAACATTGGAGGGTTCGTGAACGTGGGTTGAACGTCTAAGTTTTATACAGATGGTCTGTTTTGACTGTTTCATATAGCGGGGCTGATAGGGACTATTCAACATGTCTTTTTATTTTTCAAAAAAAATTCTTACCCCTCTCACTTTCCCCTTATTTAATGAATGAAAATAAGCCCCTCCATAACAAATACACTCCCCCCACATCAATATATCCAGTGGGTCTGAGGTCGCCTGTACAACGTATCGGGTCTGGTAAAGATAGTTGGATAAATATATATATATATATATATATATAAAATGTTGTCCCAATGTGATGTCCAGAAACGATAGGAATAACATGGATTTCATAACTTTTATATTTTTTGTTGGAGAATCACCTCTCATGTTTTGTTTTGTTCATTATATATTGAAAATAAATGTTTATTTATATTTTTTTCATCAGACTTTTCTTCCCTGACATTTTTTCCTACATATTACCTCACCTCTGCGTAATAAATGTACATCGCTGTAATGTCATGGGTTTACATCCCTGCGATGTCATATGTATACATCCCTGCAATGTCATATGTATACATCCTTGCGATGTCATATGTATACATCTCTGCGATGTGATATCGCATCACTTGGTAGATTCATCGCAAAAACACTTCGCTTTGCCATCACAAATAAGATATCGCAATTACATTGCAAAAAATATATCGCTGATATATCGCAGAGAAGTTATCGCAGGGACGTCGCATGGATGAAACTTGAGTGGGACAAAATAACATCCCCCTGACATCGCAGCGACGTCTATGCGACATAGAATGCGATATCGCAGGTCACCATTGTTACATCGCTGCGATATCTCTGTGATGTATCTGTGTTTGCTGGGTTCTCGTGAGGTAACAGTACAATTCTCTGCTGTGTATCAATTAGTTGGGGTGAGTGCAGGCATTCGACAGTAGGTAAGTACTATATCGAGTGATTTATGGTGGATAGAACATCAAACAATTCTGGTCTGGTAGACTTGAGTGTGGTAATTGATGGTATTCCATCAGAACCGAATTGTATCAGCACGGTAATTCATCGAACCCTATTTCGTAAGTACAGTGCTCTATCGAAAGCAGAGTATCGACATTCTGTCTGATTTTCAGAAATTCTATGAGATGGCGCTGGTGCATGCATGTAGAATGAAAGCATTGTATATACAGGGTGTCTCAGAACGAAGTACTATAAATTCAACAGGGTGAACTAGAGACAAAACTAGGCCGATTCAAATCGACTCACGTATATACGAAAATGCACCGCTGAGCCGGGAGTGGGCGATGAAAAACAATTTTAACTCCAGATTTTCTTCAATATTTCGTAATTTTCGAAAGGCATTGCCCTGAAATCTGTAGGGCAATTCACTATAGTGAATGTGCATGGAAAACATGTACCAAATCAATCAATATATATTCTTGTTACAGGGTGATGAATTCCTTATTCAATACTACCAAAACCAAACAACCTACAATTCTTTGACCAGACAATAAATAAAAACAGCTGATAAACTGACATCTGTCAAGCATTAAAAATATACCTTTAGGTCATAATAAAGTTACCGTGACGTCATCATAAAGATAACCTGGTTTGTCTGGTTAGGTTCGAGGAAAAATGTCTAATGCATATTCAATATTATATATGTCATCAGAGGTCAGTGGTCGTGATCATGTTCGTGGAAACTTTTTTACATGTCATCACCAAATTTGAAAGTCATTTTGAAGTCAGCCCGATGTCACGCAGTTTGCTGAGTGAATGACGTCAATAAACGTGAGTTATATGACGTTATTGGGCTGTGACTTATTCACGTCATTCATCAGGTCATATGACGTCAAATCCCGACGTCACCTTGGTCATTCAACTGACGTAAATAGACGTCACTGAAACGTCATCTGGTTGCCTGGGTAAGCTTGATCCAAGAACAATAATTTCGATGAATTTTAATAATTAATTGAATAATAATTAAAAGTTATATTAGTTAGGTTTTCGTCACTTTTCCAATGCATTTGAATCGCCCGCGCCCATATGGAACAAACTGGGACGATCGATGCGACTTCAAGAGTAAGCCTGGACTTCCAGCTTCCACAAATTGGGTGCTTTATTTTTGTATGGTTTGCGAGATACAAGTGATTCGTTCAAAACTACGACGGGAATTATTTTCAGAAAAATCGACATATCTTGAAGATAGACAAGTTGACATTAACAAGGTTGCCCAAACTGGAAATGAGGCCAATCGATCCATGTGAGAAAAAAATGAAGGTATTCCATTTAAAATGAGAAATTTTGTGCCGACTTTTGGTACACCATGTATAGCCAGATAGATTGGAAATGATTGATTATAGCATAATACTAATTCAACTATAAGTTGGAAAATTCCCATTGTATGATCTACGTAAATCACCCTGTATATATCATGGAAGCAATGGTCCATTTTCTCTCGGCTATGGAGGAAATGAATACATGAGCTCTCTTCATACAGAGCTTCTATATTTTCATGCCAGTGGTTATAATAGTGGGTGTCGAATTTTAGCAGACACCCAGGGTGAATTGAGGAGAAACCAATAAAACAATCATTTGCATTCATTATTTAGCTTTATGTTGTAACAGGGAAAAATACTAATAATTGCCTAATCAAAATATTACATATTTCATGTGTCCTCAACATTCGCCAAATTCTCGGCAAACATCAATTTTTATTTTTACTTCCCAGAATAGTGAACATTGCCAACTTCTTACTAATTTTTTAAATTTATTTAAATAACTTATATTTTTTCCGCATAAACATATATATGTATTTTTAAATATAGGAATGATAAACGGTTACAAAACGAAAGCAAGGTATTTTAAAATAACGATTTGGGATTATATACATACCAGTAAAAGCACTAGTACATTTATATACATATTAAAATATAAAAACAACAAAATCATTTGATAAAGCTTCATCCAATAAATAAAAAATGATGATAAATTTAATGAAACTCTCATCTCAATGACATGATAATAATTCAGACAATGACATACTTTTAAACTAAATTTTCAGGCATCTCTTATCTCCTATTCAACTAAAAATAAGAACTATCTGCTAGTAGAGGCAAATCGAAGGTTGTTTCATAGTAAACAGCAAGACTTGTACAATAGGTTGTGAAAGTTTATAGTCATTTTATGGGGTAGGTTGATCAAATCAATCTGTCTTCTTTATAAACCATAATGGACTTCAACCACTGGTGAATAGATTCAAAGCATGAACTGAACAATAAAAAATAGAGAATAGTTCATATTGGATATGGATGAAATGAAAATGACATATTTGGAATATTTAATTTCGACAAAAAACGCTGTCATGAAATTTATTAAAACTGATGATTACTCAATGGTTATATCAAGAAATCAAACTAAGAATCTTCGTTTTGGTATCAAACCAATAATAAATAGCATTGTCAGACATGATCGACCAGTGAATGCTGCAAGTTATGCAACAAATTGAAAGAATCCATGAAATACAAATAAAATCAGCTATGAATAATCTCGTTGAAGCCAATCTCACATAAATGTAGTGTCTATGATTTTTCTCGATATTGTCTCCACACATATCAATTAAAGAGTTCTTTGGATCAGAAGCTAGAATGATCTGATTAAATTTTTGAGAAATCGTCAACACCAGAATTCAACAAGTTGCTCTATGATCAGTTTTTTATTTACAACTGCTTTTAGTCCTATCTTTACTTTCACTTTCAACTATGATATCTAATCCTTCAAGAAATGATGGAGATGCCAGAGTACTCCTAATGAAATAATAACACCTTACTTATAATTCATCAATTGCATATGGACGAAACTGGAATATAATACGAGACCAATCAATATTTAAGGTTAAATAAAGTATGTTTTTATGGTTCTAATTTCAGCAAAAATAAACCGCGTTACGAAATTTTTTAAATCTTAAGTAACATATTTGCTGATGTTCTGGTCTAACTTCTCGACCCAAACGAAAATCTCATAAAATTTTATAACTTTCTATACAGTTGGTTGAAAATAGGGGCCTTATATTACATCCCTGGATATCCCTGGTAGGGCATTTGGGGTGCATAACTAGGCTGTGCATAAGCTTGAGGTGGAGCATATTGTTGAGGTGGAATTCCTGGAGAAAGAAACATTGGAATTAATTTCACTAAATTCTCCAGATATATGCAATATGAAAGGACCCCGCACCATATACATTGAAATCTTGTATACGGTGAAATATTGTGAAAATCTAGGTTTCCGTATATTGAATCATGCTGAGCAAGAAATGTTCTTTGGTCCAAGGCCTGTTATGCCCCTTATCTCGTTTGGCTTCAAGAGCTCATAACATTTTCTTGTTCAGCATGATTTAATCTATCTAATCCTAGATATTTTGAGTATTTTTGTTAGACTGAAGCATATTGCTATGTTAAATATATGTATTTATTTCGATAAAGCCCTGTATAAGGAGGTACAGTCTCATTTCAACAAACCAATTTATATAGGAATGATGAATAAGAAACATACCTTTATAATGATAAAGTATCAATACTACTACTACTGAATAATCTTCACAATCTAATACAATATGTTAAAGAGGGCTGTGACTTTTGAAGATTGTTCCATAATTTGTTCTCTCGATAAAAAACATTTTAAGTAATTAAAAAAAAACGTTGTTGTCAATTAATATTTTTGAATTAAAATCTACTGAAGATAATAAAATGATATTGAGAAATGCTTAAAGACTTTAAACAATGACCACTATCAGACCAATACGGGGTTTTCAAAAAAAGGTGGCCCCGCTGCTAGGGTAGGTAAAACACTGAAAAAAAGAAGTTTGGTTTGCTCAATAAAAAATTCTCGTAACTGCATCCGTTCCAAGCTACTAGGTGTTGAAAAAACAATTCTCAAAACATCTTTTATGATCAAGTCAAAACTACTGGCAACATTTTGATGAAATTGTGTACGAATATGTTTTGGAAGATCACACATCGCATGAATTCGTTATATCTGACTCTCATAGAGGTCGCTAGTTACACTGTTTGTGCCGAATAGTTTTGAACATAACTATTCGAGGTTAGTTTTTCTAGTCCAAATTTCATGTGAACTTGAACATCATTCAATTTCACACCAAAAAGGTACTCTTGGTAAAAATTCATACTGTGTGCCGTTTTCGAAATATTTTGTCATGTATGAAGTAACATTCATAAAAGAACGAAAATGGTAGATATACAGAGAAAAACAACTACTTTCCTGGCTATATGTAACGCAAAACATTGAATTACATCCTCCCGAAATCTATGCAATAATTCGTATAGACGAATAAAATCGCGAATCGGCGTTTAAGAAGAAAACACTTGCGAATTTACTCGTCTATACGAATTATTGCATAGATTTCGGGTGGATGTAATACAATGTTCTGCGTGGCATATAGCCAGGAAAGTAGTTATTTTTCTCCCGTTATCTACCATTTTCGTTCATTTGATGAACTAGTGTGGTACAGACTTTGAACTTAGCGTATTTATTCACCAAAATCAGATTTGGGGCAAGGCCCTTTTTACTTTTCCCCCGAAATAAGTCTCAACGAGAGCTACTCGCTCATGGAACGCATATAAAACGGGGAGAAACGCGGAGAACGGAGTGCCGTTGCGACAATTTATATAAATGGTGGTATAAGAAATAAAGTTTGGTGGTGGCTAGAAAGTGGATATTTTTATATCTGAGAATAATCACGTTGAATCAATTTGGAACTGGATCTTATCACTAATTTTCAGAAGAATTTCGATAAAACTCGAAAATCAGTGACAACATAATTAAGATAATATAAAAATGGAATTGAAATTCATTATCAACTATTGAACTAACACGGGACAAAGAAGTAGGTTGAAAATTGTTAAAAATCACTAAAATAAGAAGAAGGAATATCATAATTACTAATATCTACTTAAAAGCAATTATTGCTCTTCATCACAATGGTTTGAAGAGAACCTTCAAGTAACCAACATTAGAATAGATTTTTTTTATCGCTTAGAGCGCACGAAAGGGAATCCCTATAATGTTCAGAGAACATAGTGCGTTCCTAGGGAGGATAGGGAGAGGAGGTAGGTATTGGAATTTTTCTTGAACTTTTGGAGATTATATGTTGTTGGGAATACTTCCACAGGCAATGAATTCCAGAGCCTAGCCGTTCTATGGATGAAGGAGTCTTGATAAAGTGCTGTTCGACATCTTTCGAGGTTGACAACGAAAGGATGTGCTGACTGGGCTTGTCTAGTTCGTCTGATTGGCATTGCTAGTGAAGGGATGATAGCAGAGATTTCCGAAGAACATTTCCCGTGAAAGTATCGATAGAAAAGTGAAAGGTCGCCGCCCTTTCTACGGTGTTCCAATGATGTCAAAGAGTGACTCATATTATGTATTTACTATGTAAATTGTTCTCAATGAGAAAACTAATTTCAAGTTACATGATCATGCACAAGTTTGTAATTTCTTTGATCATGTTTACATGAAATAAAAAAATGTTTTTTACTATTATATTAAATAAAATACCCCACAAGCATTTCATCGCACACAAACTCGAAGGCTCAACAGAAATACTAGATACAAACGCTAGAATCGCTGAAAGAAGAGTTAAAACTTGAGGATCAGAAGTCTTCCCTCTTTGCCGATTGACACTGAACGCTTCGTTGTTCCTCAGGAGGAACTACTTCAGTAAGATATTTGAAAACTTAATTCAAAATTTCAGTCATCAAATTTCCATGAAGACGGCAGCAAATAACCATATAAAGGGCCCATTTAGAATTTATACAGGCTGTTACCGAAATTGGAGCAATAAATAAAATTAGGTGTTTTATGGGCCATAATGACACAATAAATCACAAAATAAAACATTTTCGCAGATTTTTTGGCATTTTCTCTATCTATGAAATGAAAATATGAGTATTATTTCAATATGCATATAGTAAGGACAAATGAATATACCACCTCCTCGATTAACCTACATACAGCATTGAACAAATAGGTATGGGCCTCACATTTATCAATAGTTCTAAGAAATTGTTTTGAGTCTTTTTTTTTTTTTCAAAAAATGTGATCTTCCACCATACTACATCTTTTAACTATTATTAAACGTCCGGCAACATTACAAATCATTGATCTCGCCGAAAGCAAACGCTTGGGTTGGGCTATCAACTTCTGATCAATGATTTACAAGTTTCAGGCAAACTCTGGAGCTGAATATTTTCCAAAATATTGTTTTCTTTATAAACCAACCCTTCCACAAACAACGCTTTTTCTATCGCTGTAAAACTGCCTGTCTGCCTGATGTCTTTCCGATTTCTGTCATGTCAAGTTTGATTGTTGGATATTGTTCACGCGTAAATTAGCAAGATGAGCCGTTTCAAAACAATTTCGTCAGAAGAAACCACAAAGAATACAAGAAAATCAATTCCGCAAAGTACCAATAACACGATATCATCAATAAAAGTAATCATTATTGTTGTTTATTTGTATATTGTGGTTTATTTGTATATTGTTGTTCATTTATATTGCCAAAGAACACTGGAACTATTTTTTCAATTGGATAATTTAATTTGTTTGGTTGATTGTTTTTACTACCCCAAGACAGATGTTTATAAAAAAAATCCATTAGTAATTTCTCACGAAAAACTGACATTAGACAAAATTGCCCGACCTATGTTCTCGCAATTCTTTCATATCAGTTTTTCTCGGCAAATGTTTTCCGTTAGCAAGAGAAATTTATCCGAAAAAAAGCTCAATTGTTTTTACTGTTGACAAAAATGTATTCTTTCATTTCGTTTTGTTTTTTCAATTTCTATCATCCATTTTATTTATTGCCCCAATTTCGTGAACTTATTGTAGACTAAAGCATATAGAGGATTCTAAAAATGACATAATATATGGAGTGTTTCATCTGAAATAACAAAGTATCTACTACTTTCTGATAAGTGGCAACACTGTATGGGTGAAAATATTTCAGACGGATAGGACATATTTGATTATTTATGGCCACAAATTTTCGAAATTATTCTGTTGTTTGGTTCCCCAGATACTTCTAATGTTCCATCCACCGTGAAACGACTTGTATGAATTGCGTTATTGATTTCAAAAATTAGAATCTTAAAAAAGTAGTGGTGTGCTATAATAACCTGCTGGACTAAAGAGACAAATCGAATGGATATATTTCATCACCAACATAAGCAAAACTTACTCAGATCCAAGAAATAGGGATACGTAATTTCAATAAAATGATAGCACGACTTTTTTCTTCATTCCAAAGCATCGTTGTACCTATGTTTATGAGCCTATTTTTATCTCGATGAGTACCAAGGCATTTCGAAGTATAGCAGATGAAAATTGAAACACCTTATGGATTGATGTGTCAAAAGGATAATTTTTAGAATCAAAAGCACAACCAACATTAGACATGTTACACACATAATTGAACATAATTTGATTGTTCAATAATGTTACAAGTTAATGAAAATAACGTGCTTACCCATTCCTGGACCAGCAGTTAACATGAGCTGAGGTTCTGGGATCATCATAGGTTTGTTCGTTTCTTCGGCTGCTTCATTCTGTCTTTCTGCATCAGATTGTTCTAATTTATCAACTTTAGTAGTCAACTCTCTCGTTACTTGAATGAGGTAGGGCATTGCGAAATCCATGATGTTGTGTTTCCATGACAACTCTAGGATTACATCAGGTCTGAGTAGGTCGTAGCACTGAAGAAGAAATGATACTGTCATTTTGTGACAATTTACGATGAACATGAGATCAATCACCGAATTCAGATCTACTGAATGAATACATGCTCATATCTTGCGATACTTGATGGCATATACCGGGTGAACAACTAAGAACGGCTGTTGGCCATATCTCAGCAACGAATAAGGATACAATGCATATCATTACACGATGTAATAGAGAAACTAAATTTCAACAGACCAACGAAAACCGTAACATGATAGCATTTCGCCAACGGAAGATATTAACTATCAAAGTTGGAAGAATGATAGATATGACAGCTGTTCTTAGTTGTTCACCCGGTACATTCAAGTCAAACATTGGCAAACAATAAGTACAACAATGCAATAATTGTTCACAACTCATTACCAAGTGAGTTAAGAATATAGATGATACAAGGATATTTAAAATCAATCTCAAACAATAACTGCCAAACAGTTGGATTGAAAAATATGTGGCATGATTTGATTACAAAGAATTGAAATGTAACAACTTTCATCCTAAGAAGAAGTACGAATCAGTTTCCACTTATTGGAATTCATTAGTTAACCTTTTATTATGATTTGTCGATATTTTTTCATGTATACCTATTATAATGGTTATTTAAACACTAAGTTATTAAAGAATACCAATATTTCCTAGGGACTAAGATTATATCTCGAGGCACCAATAATAATTATAGTTCTGTGATACTGAGATTTAGACCTATTGTCACTATGAAAGCACTTTTTTTCATAATCAAAATCTAGCAGCCATGACCATAGTAGCATACGACAAGTCATTATTCATAAATACCTACTAGATTCGAGTGCAATTCCTGCGAATCTCGAATCAGAACAGCGAATTCGGGTTAATTAGTCATAGTTATACTTATTGATCCAGTCAACATTTTACAGTAGGAACAAACAAATCACTCAACATATAACATGAATTCGTCCACAGAAAATGGACACTTTTCTAAGATAAACATTTTAAGTTGTCTCTTGAACATTTTTTCAATTCCTGACTTCCTGAGACCCTCTGGTAGAACATTATACAACCTAAGCCCCAAGATGTCTGTAGCCGTATTTGTTAGGTTCAAACAAGCAAATGGGATATGGAATTTACTTTTATTATGAGTGAGGTAATCATGAACATCTGCATGACTGCATGACATTACTGTGTCGGTGACGCTCCATCATTGCATCTGATAATTCATACATTTTGTGAATATGATGTGCCACCCCATATTTTTATACCATAAAGGAGTCTAGACTGCACATCTCCAAAATAAAGAGTTAAATGGTTCTCTGTGTTCAACACTGTTTTCAAAGTTCTGATTTGATAGCATTTTTTATTCAATAGGGTTGCCAGGTCAGTACAGTGAGATTTAAATTCTAGGGTACTATCAAAGTTGATACCCAGAAAAACCGTTTTGTCTTTTCTTTTTATTTCCTCTTCTCAAATTGAAATTTCAATATTAGTTTGTTTAATATTCTGTTGTGTATGGAAGCTGATGTAACTTGTTCAAGAAGCATCAAAATAAAAAGAATTTCCACTTTCCAGCTAAAAAGATGTTCAATAGTTGTGTCAATTGTATGTTTGAGACCTTCATCTGTTTTATCATTGAATAGAAAGGTTGAGTCATCAGCATAGTGTGACAAATGTCTCCTTGAGAAGATCTGACAGCACTTTGATGTAAATAATAAAACAACACTGATCCTTGTGAAACTCAAATATTGTTATTCAAAGCTGATGACATATGTTTTTGTATTTATATCATTATGGTGATTGATTTTCACAATTTGATTTATGTCTGTTGATTATATTGCAATCATTTTATATCAATTATATATAATTTATCCAACAATACATTATTTGTAACACAACCAAAGGCTCGACTGAGGTCACAAATATTCTAATAGGTCTGTCCCCATCTTCAATTGCTTTCAGCACTTCTTAGTAAAATGAATGAATTGCAGTGTTTGTTGAATAGCCTGAGCCAAATCCGTGCTAAATACTGTCTGTAGGTTAATCGAGGAGGTGGTACATTCATTATTCCAAATTTTTTGGGATTTTCTCTCCTCGTTTCTATAAAATAAAAATATGAATATTATTTCAATATACGTGTAGTAAGGACAAATCAGATGATTTGCCCCAAAATGTCACTGCGTTTAAAGAATTTTCCTATCAGAGAGCCTAAAAGAAAAATTCACTAGCTTGTCAGTGACAATTTGTACTGAAAAATTTTTGGAGAAGAGAAATAAAGGTATATAGAAAAAAATATCAAATTTTCACTTATCTTTGGACGTTTCGGGACCGATTCTGCTCCCGTTTTCAACATGAAGAGATTTTTTCAATTGCGAAGTCGTATTATATGTCTTGAAAACTGAAAAGCTTCAAGACATATAATACGACTTCGCAATTGAAAAAATCTCTTCATGTTGGAAACGGGAGCAGAATCGGTCCCGAAACGTCCAAAGATAAGTGAAAATTTGATATTTTTTCTATATACCTTTATTTCTCTTCCCAAAAAAATTTTTCAATACAAATTGTCACTGACAAGCTAGTGAATTTTTCTTTTAGGCTCTCTGATAGGAAAATTCTTTAAACGCAGTGACATTTTGGGGCAAATCATCTGATTTGTCCTTACTACACGTATATTGAAATAATATTCATATTTTTATTTTATAGAAACGAGGAGAGAAAATCCCAAAAAATTTGGAATAACAAATCCGTGCTGATTTTTGCTTATAATATTATTGACACCAAGGCGGACAACTGTGCCAGCATACATATTCAAACATTTTTGCAATGATGGGAGAAACACTGACAGGTCGATTATTTGTCAAGTCAAGTTTGTTGCCTTTTTTGTGAATAGGTAATACTAGAGATGTTTTCAATTGAGTAGGAAAGATACCTTCTGAAAATGATACATTGATTAGATGTGTCAAGGTTCCGTTATTTGCATGAAAATCTTCTTTATCAATTATAACAGAGGTCGAGAAAACACACATTTCAAACTTTGAAAGGGAGTAAATAATGGTAGGTTCTATAGCTAGTGGTGGAAAAACACATATTATGTTTTTTGGCGTAACAGAGACAATCAATCATTTTTGTTATTGAAAAGCTCTTTTTTCGACAAATATATTGTGCTGATATATTTTTCAAATAAAGAAATTTGTATTTGTGTGTAAAAATTTATCATCAAATCGCGAAGCACTTTGGGATTAAGCCATCATCAGTGCCGAAAGCTCTTTGCGATTTGATAATAAAATATCCACCAGAAATATAAATTTCTTCATTTTATTAATAATTTTCGTTTATGCAGCATGTACAAATCTTCAAAATATGTTTCAGTTATTTTAATGTATGCTTTGTGGTGGATTGAAATGAGTTAACATATTTTTATTGTCCACCAGATCACGCTACTGAGACAGGAGCTCTTGCATGACATAAACGTCTTTCATATAATTTGGCATCAACTTTAGGATACCTTTTTCTCTGTATAAGTTGCGCGTAAAGTTTCACATTCAAAGTAAAAAACTCAAGCCCAAGCATAATTCGAATTTTTGTATTCATCTACATAGGACACACCACTATTTTCATACAATTTTCGAAAAACAGGCCATAGCATTCAGGGCTATCTAAAATCTAAATCTCAATAAATCAAAAGAACGTTATAGTGTCGGTTAATTGAGAATGAACCTTTTGAAAAAATCGCCCTAGCTTCTCAGGTAAGGCACAAGACGTTTGATACTGAATTGAAGCTTGTTTTCCACAAATATTCATCTGTAATACCACAAATGTATTTTGCCAGAAATATTCGGCGATTGTTACAACAGCTTGTTGCCTATTGTTTTCCGGAATGACATTCAACTGTCGACCCGTAGGCGAGAAGTTCTGGAACAAGATTGGGAAATTAAAGCAGCAAGCTGGAGTACGACAATCGACGAATATTTCCAGGAAAATAGAAGTTGTATGAAGGCGGTTAGTACTTGGATGGGTGACTATTCGGGGTAGTTGACACATCGTGAAGTAACATATCATAGGTAAAAATATGTAATATTTCTAGTGTATGAGTATGATGTACACTTTTTCCTTTCGTTTATAAGCTGATGTTTAAATAGCATAAGAAAAATCATCATCCAATTTTCAAGATTTTGGTAGTACATTTGGAGATATAAAAATTTGAAAAAACGATGATAAAGTGTGTTGTTTCATCACACATTTATTGAAATTTTGTTAATCCAGATCTAGATCGTTTGACTAGTATATCAGTCAGTGCTGCAGTAGTGAAAAGAGAACATGTGTAGCAAATATGAGTGAAATATACTAATAGGTTGTTCTTTAGTTATGACCTTGGACCGGAATGAACAAAATTAATGAAATACCCTATATCAGGGTTATGAAGACTCTAAGACTGTAAGAGTGAAATATATGGTAAACTCTGGACCACAATAACTATTCCCTATTAGTTGAATGTGAAACATTAACCCCAAGAACTATCAATAATGTAAATAGACAAATTCGATATTCTACGGAAATTAACTTAACAAAAATATTTATTCAACTTGTACGCTTACCTGATATAGACAAGCCGAGAAACAATCATATGCTTTCCTCTCAAGGAACCACGCTAAAAGTTCTTCAGCCAGTTCTTGATTCCTAGATTCAGCAGTGTATTCCATTGCATCTTTGAATAGTCTGTCTTTTTTGCACAATTCCACACTTTGTTTCCATCTGTTATTTCCTTTGTATAAATATGCTGCAATTCGTCTGAATTCGGTCAACTCGTGCTTCTCCAATTTTTGCGCCAATCCGATATTGTCGAAGTTATCAAAGGCATCGATCGACGTTCTCAAACCCTGTTAGAATCGAAATTTTAGTAATCAATTAATATGACAAAGTGGAAAATCGAATACCTGGAAATCTTCTTCCTCTATCAATAGAGAATTGAGAGCCTCATTGATTGCTTTGTTATTCAAGTTCTGAACAGAGCGAAGGTACGACTTGACAAGTTGCAGATGTCCAGTTTTGGTGAAGAAGGAAACAGCCCTAGAAATTTCGAAACAATTAGAATTCAAACATTCCTAACACTGTCAATAAAATGGAAGTTGCACGTGGAAAAAAATCAAGTAGTCAAATTTGAAATTCACATACAAAATGTCCTCCAGAGTTCCGAAATATTTGCAAGGAGTAGGTTTCTGTACTTATTCCAGCATGTAACTCGAAAACTATGTTGAAAAGTTGAATTAACAATAATTCTGAATGTTGCCTTAAAAATATAATTTTTCTAGGACTATAACACAAAATCGCTCTTGTTTTACTGTGCTCCATACATCAATGAGATACTTTGTATGTCATCAATTTTAATTCCGTATCTGATATCACAATTACTCCATTGTGTTACTATTTCAAAAAAATCTCATCGCTCATGTAATGTCAAATTTCAAACAATGACAGCTCTGTCTACTAGATAAGCATTACTTGATAGAAAATCAGATGGCTGTTATCTATTACTTCAATAGAAAAATTCGCAGGGAATGCTAATTTCCCACTATCGGTCCGTGCTCGTTAAACAGACTTATAAATGAGGAGCAACAGAAAATTGCAAAAATAACGTTCTTCGTCGGTTTTTCGCAGATAGTTCATAATCTACGTATTTCTCTACGCATTTCTCTAAGCATCTCGGCCCACGTCGATAATCAACGATATACATAATATACTACTATGAATCTATATTCTTCAGCAGATGCTAACATAGCTAGAAAACGACATATCGAGGAGTAAAAAAATCGGTTTGTCGAGTGAAGATGCGCTCTAATTGAATTTATATTGTTTTCTTACCTAGTGTGATCCATTCTTGGGGCAAGCACCAACAACAAATCGTTCAATAACAAAGGTTTGTAGTCCAGATAGAACTGAATTGCCCTATAATATAATTCGATGTTTGCTACTTTCGTTATGATGTCTTTGAAGTGTCCTTCACGCCACGCTTCAGTTGGATGTGTCATCATCGCCAATACTGCATTGTCGTATTCTTCATATTTATCAAATAAGAATACCAGTTCTGCCCACAAGTGTGCCTATAAGAGTTATTGACTATTAAATAATTCTCGAATATTTCCGAATGTATGTTCATAAAATATATTTGTGTTTTTGCTACTCTTTCAAAAAATCTTCAACATCCTTGGTATGTTTTGATTTTCATTAGAATAATATATAGGGTGTGTCAGTTTTTTTGAAGCAGGACTTCCAACAGCTCGATTATGCAAATTTGAGATGAAAATATATGTTATGCATAGGAACCCCTTTCCCGATATACAGGCGGTGTGAAATGTTCATTTTCATAATCGTATAAAGCTGATATTATACCAGATATCGATATTACTTTTCAACCTCCGGAATATTTTTTAATGTAGAAAAATTTTAAAAATTGTGTAGGTGTCAGACAAACTCGAGATTAATACTTGTAAGCCATCTTAAATTTGTCAGAACCATCAAACTATCGAAACAACAGTATACAATTAAGGAGAACCATGACAACGTTTTTAATGTTAAACAGTAACAAATTTTGAATATTTTAAGATTATTTGGCGCATAGAATATTTATGCGCTAAGGGAAATACAAAAAGTAAATGAAGCGAATGTTCAAATGGACCTCCATTTTCTTCTGATCATGAACTGTCGCACGTTTTGGAAGATGCCTGGAGTATTCTGGATTACTATGCCTGCTGCTAAGATTCTAGCAGTTAAATCTTTTATAGATTCTACTGGTGTAGGAAAGACTATGGATCTGAGGTACCCCCAAAGGAAAAAATCTAGTGGAGTTAAATCGGGAGAACGTGCAGGCCAATGAACGGGACCATATCTACCTATACATTGACCAAGGAAATTCAGGTCAAGAAACTGACGAACTGTACGCTAGGAATGGGCCGGTGCTTCGTCGTGCTGATACCGCATTCTTTGACGGACTAAGATAGGCATTTCTTCAAGTGAAACAGGTATTACTTCATCTCGAAATATTCTGTGGGACTGTCTATCCAAACGAGGAGGAAGAAGATATGGTCCCACAATATGATTTTCGACAATACCTGCCCAAATATTGACAGAAAACTTCTGTTGGTAGACATTTCGGAACATACCATGATGATTTTCTTAATTTCATAAATGGCTATTCCTGCTATTGAAATATTCATCTCTTGGTAAACATGCCTCATCGATGAATAATACATATCGAGGAGTCATTTGCTTCCTGGTATTTCCCAAAAAACCATTCACAAAATACCCTACAGGGACCATAATTACCAGCATTTAGGGCCATCACCTTCTGTAAGTGGAAAGGATACAATTGTTGTTCACCTGCTACTGGAATACTTAGTTACAGGGCGAACAATTTGGGCAAATTTTTTGATGCCGGGTTTTTTATGCCGGTGAGAAGATATGTGGCGTAAATTCGACCAGTGTATACAACCTCATTGAATATGAAGAAATTATAAAGTACAGTTGTAATTGTAAAGTTGCATCATATTGATACCATTTTATAAGTACCATGTATTAGATTTGTCAAAAAGGAAGACATTAGGGCGATGCTTGAAGAAAAACTGAAATTTTATAAAAATCTAAATGCTCACTTGTTCTGCAGCTCTTAGCACTTTCGGAATGTTTACTCTCGACCAAAATAGTTCTAAGTGTTCCCTCATTTTTGCAGGCTTGTATTTAGAATATAGTATAGCCAATTCAGTGAACATTCCCATATGGGCTCTCTCTAAGCCTAAGGCAGCTTCTAGAAGTCCAATTAGTTCTTCAAAGTATCCTGAAAGATTTAAAAAAGTAGTAACCACTTATCTGACAAAATGTGCAGTAATTGTGAAATTAAGTTTGAGTGTTTCTCAACTTGGCCTCTGAAAATGACACTACGTAATACATTCTTAATATCTGATCACAAAGAAACAAATGATAGGATCGCTCAATGCTTAATTCACCAGTGAATAGCAAAATTCAAGAATGAGGGAAATTGCTCATCAGACGACTTTTGCTGTTCTTGCCATCAAATCCAATTTTTGACTCTTCACAGCCTTTTTTTCAATAATTCACTGTCATACCACTGACCACGTAATATGTGTCAAAATCGATTTTAAGGTATCGGGCATGCAAAATAGATCCCCGAGAAAAATTGTTCGACACTAGATAACATTTTTTTCCATTTCTTACGGACTATCGCAATGTGTGATTTACAGCGTGTCTCACTTTATACCAGTCCCAATTTGGTAAGAATAGCACAACAAACAACTGATATACAGAAGGGGGTCCGTGCAGGAGGTTTGTTGAAAGTGAGACACACTGTATATTAGACTGCATCCTCAACTGTTTCAGATTCAAAACAATCTTCATGAGTGCAATACTATATGCAAATAATTCAACAAAAATCAACAATTTCAAAACTTCGAATATTGAAAATTCATCAATCTTAAAACTGTGTTACACCTTACAATACACCCTAGCAGGCAACCTGAAAAACTTGGACGGCTACATGTTTAAATCGCAGGTAAAATGTTTTCAGCATGAAACATTGCTTTTATTCTATTGAGGAATTAATTTAGTATAAAAATTAGTAGGTGTCCCATAATTTCATAATTTAAATGTTATTTTAAAAATCAATTTTTTACTTGTCATTTTTCAACTATTCACATACACCAACTTTGTTCTATATATTATACAGTCTGTCCAAGATAAGGTTGAACAGCATGGGGATCTCGAAAACGGTAAGAGATACGAAATCGGTTAAATGGGGAAAAAGTTGCGCATTCGGAGGCTCATATCAAGAGCCTTCAAAAATTTTGAAAATTATTTTTAGTTTTTGAGTTATATCGAAAAAAGTGAATTTTTGGAATTTCTATTTTATTTTTTTTTCTCCGTTATTATTAGAGATACAGCAAAACTGAGAATACTTTTTCATAGCAACTTTTGATGACGGTCAACGTGGTGATACCGATTTTTTCATGCGACGTTTCGTATTCGTGGAACCATCATCAACTTTTGTTTTTTAAATACGGTCCTGATAATTTTTTCACAGATTCTAAAAGGTTTTTTTATTCTGAATTCAACCATGTATTATGCAAGGTGGTTCATTTGTGTTTCGACCTATTTTTGGCCATCATCAATGTTTTTTCGAAACTCCAAAGGAAAAATGCCATCAGTTCCACTTAGTTTGAAGGAAAATTAGTCAACACACTAATACCTCATCAACTGGTTTCAATCAACAACCCATTTCATTTTGCAGAAACAAAAATTCCATCCATACAAATTCAGAATATGTCAAGCGCTAAAACCAGGCGATGACGAAAGGCGCAAGACATTCTGTGAGTGGTATACCAGGAAATGTCAAAATTTTGCAGATTTCTTTCGAACAATCATCTGGACTGATGAAAGCATGGTCACTAATCATGGTAGCTTCGATAGAAAAAATACACATTATTGTTCACGAGAAAATGAACATTTATACATTACAGCGAGACACCAACACCATTTCGGCTTTAGTATGTGGGTTGCAATATTTGGTACACGAATTATTGTTCCTTCTATTTACCATGAAACACAGACTTCCGAACGTTATAGAAATTCGCTTGAGAATCATCTTGAGGAAGCTCTGGATGATTTACCGATTGCGGAAGTTCAGAACTCTGTTGGTTTCAACCGGTACATAATTCCAGAGAAGTCCGTGCGTTTTTATCCCTTGGCCGGCGCGGTCGCCTGATTTGACACAGCTGGATTTTTTTCTTAGGGGATATATCGAACTTTGTACACGCAAATAACTTTGAGGATGAAGAAGAACTAAGGGACAGTGTCTTCGAAGCATTCAATAGAATAACCCCAGAAATGCTTAGCAATGTCTTAGAAACAACTGTGAGAAGAGGATATCTTTGTTCAGAAAATGATGGTTATCATTTTGAACATTTGTTATGAATGTCTCTGTAGGTATTGTCAAAGTTAAGTTGTTAAAGTAATTCGTGTAAGAATTCATCAACAATTTTAAAGGCTGCATTGATCGAATGATGTAGTGAAATATTTTTTATTCACTTTTCAGTATTGAATAACTGATCCATCAAGTTTGACACTAAATGGTAAGAAATAAGTGGAACTGATGTCTTTTTTTCTTTTGGAAGTTCGAAAAAACATTGATGATGGATAGAAATAGGTCGAAACACATTCGAATCACCTTGTATAGTACATTGTTGAATTCAGAATAAAAAAACCTTTTAGAATCTGTGAAAAAATTATCAGGACCGTATTTAAAAAACAAAAGTTGATGATGGTTCCACGAATACGAAACGTCGCATAACAAAATCGGTATCACCACGTTAAACCTCATCAAAAGTTGCAATGAAAAAGTATTTTCAGTTTTTCTGTATCTCTGATAATAACGGAGAAAAAAAATAAAATAGAAATTCCAAAAATTCACTTTTTTCGATATAACTCAAAAACTAAAAATAATTTTCAAAATTTTCGAAGGCTCTTGATATGAGCCTCTGAATGCGCAACTTTTTCCCCATTTAAGCGACTTCGTATCTCCTACCGTTTCCGAGATCCCCATGCTGTTCAACCTTATCTTGGACAGACTGTATATTGTATTTCCCATTTGATGTATTTTTCACCTCATATTTTAGTGACCGTCAACTTCCAATTTTTTCAAAGCCAACAAATTATTCTATTTATCAGTGTTCAAATAAAATTCGTAAACAAATAAAGTCGTTGGCTGTGAACTCAGTTCTTCGCGTTTTGGGAAGACGTAGACACCAATAATGATGACATATAATATTCTTCTACATAATAGTTGCGGCGCACGTTGTGATCGTGATAAGTAGGACAACCTGCATACAAAACGATCTGGATGTTTGATATTCACCTCTGTCCTGATAATAGTTGATCAAATCCTGCAACTCATCGGCATGGACCACAATGTGCATCCCGCACATCTGAGCCAATCTGAATTCTTCAGCATCGACGCAAGCGAAGCAAACTTCTTTCCAAGTTCTGGTGCTGTTAGCTTTACGCGCACTATCTACAGCTCCTTGGAACTCTTTCAGATGCACCAAAGTGATGGCCAAACGGGCAAAGTTCGATACATTGTTGTACAATAATTTGGCAGCGTCATACATTTTGTCTTCAAAGCACCTGAAAATGGATTTTATTCGTATTAACGGCTCTAGTAAAAATGAAATGTAACTTTCATCAGGAATAACATTTTCTGATAAATGAATAATAAAAATGTTACAAATTCTAGCCTAGTAGTAACCACATAAAATAACCTTTCATATCGTGTTTATTGAATAAGCTAGAATAATACCAACAAATTGAGTGTATCAACTTTCAATAGATATGAATCTGATTTGATTGGAACATGCCATTGTTCAGAATTGATTATTCAAAATTCAGAATAAAATTGCATGAAAATATAGATAAAAACCGATGTGGACAATTCAAAGATTTAATAACCTTAATTTTGGAAGCCGAAGAACAGTCTTCTAAAGAAATATAGACAAGGATACCTGAAAACAATAAGTGGATAACAAATGCAATTATTCTTGAAATTGAAATTAGTGATCTGAAAATTTCAAACAAAACAGAAATACTATTCAACTTCTCACTGAAGATAAAATTCAGACAAATAATGTTAGTGCCATGGAAGAGAGAGCAAAAATAGGATATATCAATAAAAAATTTGAGGAATCAAAAGGTAATAAAAAAAGGGATACTGTTTGAGAAATAAATCCAAATATTATGAAAGAACAGATAGAAATATCTGAGATAATGAATTTACACTTTTCAAGTATTGGTGAGAATTTCATAATAATAAACCAATCATCAATATGCCACCAAATAAAAATGATTCAACAATACTTCTGATACAAACTGATGAATCTGAAATATTAAACATAAACAGACCCTTCAGTGCGGTACGATTTTTATTTAATGAATCAAACTTCCTAGACACCATGATTAATACTGATTGTCGGTGTCATCAGTTTGAAAAAAAAATATTTTGATAAAATTTTCACATTTTTTTAGATTTGAAAAATATTCAGTTTCCTGTACATATTCTCGATATCGTTTAAAATATGTCAATGCTAGTCTCACAATTATTTGCGGCGGTAACTATACAGGGTGTTACAAATTTGATCCTCACCATTGGGGTTCCGGAAACTATGAGATACGAAAAAATTGGAGCAAAGTTGCGCATTTACCTAATTAACAATATGCTGTTTAGAATGTTTCGAAATTCCAAGAATATCCGGAGATATCCTGAAAAAACCGAAATTATGGCAAATTGATTTTATTTTTTTCTGGCTCTTATTTATTGTAGAATTTCAAAATAAACTGCACTTTTCCATTGCCATTTCTTCTCTAGAACATGATGGTGCTTTGAGAAATTGTTAACTGACTTTTCATCTCCAAGCAAGCATCATCAAGTTTATTTTTTCCAGTGGGCGCCATATTGGACTTTTTCTGTTATGAATAGAACTTGTTATTCTTTTTTCAATGGTGTGTCACAATTTGTCATTCTTTTCGGAAATATGGGAGATATTTAAAAAAAATTATCATAGAATTTGAGTTTGATGTTTCGGGAGGATTCTTTCACTACCTGTCCGTCTAAAACGTTCAAATGGGCAAAAGTGAAGTATTTTTTATGGGCATTCAGAATCTAGTACGAGAAAATGCAAAAAAGCGTGGTGAACCTGAAAGTTTTATGGTATTTTATTTTTCTAAATGGTAGAGCTCTTTCTTCTGATTTCAAATATATATACCTTATTGAGGTTATCTTCTGTCAGTTTTTGAAAAATAGAGATTTCTTTTTATAGATCTAAGGCAGGTGTTGAATGCCAGACGACATTGCTGTGATTTCTGGCATTCTACAGCGGCCTTAACTATATTTTTGGAAAACTGACAAAGATAATCTCATAAAAGAATATATATCTGAAATCAGAAGAAAGAGCTCTACCGATCAGGGATATGAAATACAGGGTGTTCCATTTAAAAAATAGTAATGCAAAATTTTTAGGTTTGATATTGAACTTTGCATTTTATCTCTCGAAAATGAAGCGTTTCCGGACATATATGTTCTAGAGAACTTTTTTCATAAATAGTCACAAACAACCACACCCTGAATTCTAAACATCTAATAAAGAAACACCAGGAACTGAAACTTAGTTGAAATAAATTTATAGGGTGTACTTATCATATAGAATAAACGGATTATTTGTTTTCGTATTTCTGAATGATTCCCAAACTTTTGATAAACAAATTCATTTGTTACATAAATATTTTTGAAGCAACCATACCTGTCACCAATTTTTTGTATATCTGCATGATTAGGTCCACTGATAAACTCTTCTAAATCAGCAAGTCGACCGGTTTTGGCATACGAATAAATCAATTCGGATTCTATGTAACTTTCTCTGGCCTTCTTCCTTGCCATTTGAAGATAACGGACCAAATCTTCCCAACTATTATTTCTTGAGGCAGTTTCAACAACATCCATGTACGCAGAGGGATCATCTGCTTTGATGTAAGAGTCAATGGCTTCCTTGACCATACCCTGATTAAGCTGTGCCTTGGCAAGCTGACTCCATACCGCTGGCTCATTGCACCTTTCTAAAAAACATTCCTCAATTAGAATTTTCCCTGGCTGACAGTGACATGTTCTATCATACAGGTGTAATAGAGAGATACAGAGATAAACTACAAGTCACCTATCTATAATGACTTATTTCCTAAAGAACAAAATGTGGTGCTTTGAGTAGTATTTATATGTACAGTGAATGCCAGTAAACGAGCGAAGTTAATAAGTTGGCCAATTCACAGATACCAGGGTGGAAAGTTAGACAAAAATAGGGCTAACTTTACTCAAACACTAATGATTGATTTTCATATACAGGGTGTCCCTAGACCAGTGGGACAGTTGAATATCTCCTGAACCAATAGGAATTTTCAAAATATTATGATTTCACATCATATCGCATTATGATTGCTAACTTCAGGAATGACTATATTTTATACGAGGTGCGCAAGAAAGGCTCACAAAATCGAACATCAATTTTTTCAAATGGAACACCCTGTATTTCATTGCATTTTTATATTCTCCCTGAAGAGCTGAATTCACCGACCTAGAACACTTAGGGTCTAGCGGGAATTATTTCCGAGATATAGGGTGTGGAAAATCGAGATTTTTCATTTTTGTGAATTTTTTGTGTCGAAACTATTCATTATTGGTCAAAACGGCTTACATGTCCATGTCTCAACTTCTGATTTACTATTTACTCGTATTTAATTGAAACAAATACAGGGTGGTGTAGAATTAACAGTTTCAGTCAGAATTCGAGTAAATAGTAAATCAAAAGTTAAGATATAGACATGTAAGCCGTTATGACCAATGATGAATAGTTTCGACACAAAAAATTCCCAGAAATGAAAAATCGCGATTTTCCACACCCTATATCTCGGAAATCATTCTTGCTAGACCCCAAGTGTGCTAGGTCGTTGAACTCAGCTCTTCAAGGAGAATATGAAAATGCAATGGAATACAGGGTGTTCCATTTGAAAAAATTGATGTTCGATTTTGTGAGCCTTTCTTGCGCCCCTCGTATAAAATATAGTCATTCCTGAAGTTAGCACTTATAATGCGATATGATGTGAAATTATAATATTTTGAAAATTCCTATTGGTTCAGAAGATATTTAACTGTCCCACTGGTCTAGGGACACCCTGTATATAAAATATTATTATAAAATGAAATTGAACACTGCCAGACACTGTTCGCCGGCCATAACTTCCGCCAGACGCTTTGAAGCTCACCATGAAATTGTAACTGTACTTATATTTTTTTGCATAGTATATGTTATTCAGGGGACTATTTCAATTATATTGTTACGTTATTCGTGTGCACAAGTGAATACTGACACTATTCATTTCGACAGGATTGATTCAATTTATCAGTACTATTTATGTAAAACGATTTATAACACGCGGTATACGACTCTGACACTGATTGATAACTAACTGAATGACAGCTGCTCTCCGGTTCGTCTTCACTAGAGTCACTGGATGGTATTATAGCGTTTTCCACTCGCCGATTTACAGAGCGCACTAGCACTGAGCAAGTACAAGTGGCACTGGCTCGGTTCTTCCATAAAGTGCGGTTTCAGCACAGAGCAGTGGAATAGAAATAGAAAGTTAGTGCGACCTCTTTGTCATCAGAAATGTCAGATTAATTGTTTTGTCAATCAAAAAGTTGAATTATTAAGTACATTTGGTTCCGTTGGAGCACAGGAAGGATTCATCTACCTTTTAATGTGGTTTCCCTGTGAACACTGCCAGAAACCAGCCAGAAACAGTCTTATATATGAATGTTTATTGTCAATGATGTTCAATTGAATCATTCGACAATAGGGATGTAGCATTGAAGTGTCCTTCACGAAGTTGATATTTTTCATCATTACTGAATCAACAATCAAATATGTTTAATACCTTCACATCTGAATAGCTTTCTTCAACTTTTAGGTAATTTTGAATCTTCCGTAAACGCTGTTTCGTAACTAAGTACTTCTGTATCTCAATTATCATTTCTTCATCATCACTTGTATATATAGTTCCGGAAATCATTGTAATAATAGTGATACATTCATAATTATTCAAATTCCAAACATTTTCCCACTCGTAAGTCAAATATTTGAGGTTATGTGTATCGCACCGTCGTACAAGCACAGTTCTGAAAACTCGAACTCTGAGCGGGCATCGAGCAAGTTTGAAAGCCAGTGGAAATCGTTTCTCGACAAGAGTTCGCTCATGAAATCCTCAGTGGACCACGCAAAACGAACTCAGTGCCGAAAAAGTTCGAGCTAGTGCGACGAGTGGAAAACGCTATTAGTTTGATAAGAGTTCGGACACAGAAATGACAACTGTTAGGGTTTTTGAATGTTTAGATTCATTAAGTTACACACCTTGCATTGTGACAATAGCACCATAGTCGTCCCGCGCTTTTTATTCAAAATAATTGTTTGAATTTGACAGTAAATTTTATGAACGTCAGATTTGAAATAAAATGTTATAATTATACTTTCGAGAAAAAAGCAGCTATGGAAATCAGTTGCTGTGTAATAAATTGTGCCAAATCTGATAAAAATGGATATCATTTATTCAATTTTCCAAAACAAATATCAACCATTCGCTTATAGAAGGAAGATATGAAACGGCCTGGGTGGAAAATCAATTTCAAGACGATCGAAATTTGTGAGGTACTCATTAAAATTAGCTTCTTATAACAGCATCTGATCACAGAATGAAACTATATTTTAGGTCCAGTTTCGAACAGAAGATTTCAAAATCTGTTTGAGAGAATCTGCTATTCCATCAATTTACAAAGCAGACGATTTCAAAATTCCATTATTATCATCACACAAAAACAGAACAAAATAATCATGGAAAGAGGAAATGACCGTAAAATTACATAATGAAATTGGAAATTTGAAAACAAAACTAAGAAAAGCAAGGAAACTACAACGTGATATATTATTGAATGGCGTTTTTGATGCCGATCAAATTCAAAATTCAACAGTGAAAAGTGAATAATTATTTATGTATCAAGGGAACGCTGGAGGTTATCGTTTTGGGGATATTTTCTGTATCGATCCATGTTACTTAGATGCTTAGCTCCTAGGGCGCTAAGTGAAGTTGCTGAGAACTTTTCAGAAAAATGTGTTTGGTATATCGATCCATGTTACTTAGATGCTTAGCTTCTAAGGCGCTGAGTGAAGTTGCTGAGAACTTTACAGAAAAATGTATTTGGTAGGTCTCGTCAAAATAAACTACATTTTTACAAGGAAATGTTTATCGAAAAATGATTTGTTCTCTGTGTTTCAACACCCTGTATCTCCGAAATGAAACATTTCCGGACACAAGCTTATATATAGACTTTATTTCTTAAAATTGTCTCAGGAATACTTCACTTGAACGTATTTATGTTACTTCCTGTATATTGAGAATAACTACCTTTAATTAAATATTGATAACTTCATGTTTTATACTTATCACTGGAGTACAGTTTGACATACAATAAGGATTTATAGCTATAAGTTTATCCATATGTGTATATTTTCTAATATTAAAACGTTGGTACATGCATTCTTCTCATTTATATAACAGTTGTTCTGCTAGAAGTGTATCACTATAAATTGAAGTGGGTGTTTGTACCCTATATCCATTGTCCATCTACGGCTATGATTGATTTGACAGAAAATATAACCTCTAAAATCGTATTTGACAATCAGGCGCTTCTAGGGAAATTGGAAAGACAAAGAGCAAAATATATGTCTTATTCTTTTATTCACTCAAACCATTGTATTATAGAAAATAGAAAAGGACAAAAGTTCAGCTGTGTCCGAACTCTTATCAAACTAATACCATCCAGTGACTCTAGTCTTCACAAACTGATCGAAGAAAATCTAAGGATGTTTTAAAATACAGGGTGATCCACGGTCGCTGGCCTATTAGAAGTATCTGGAGAACGAAAAGACAGAACATTCTGAAAATTCGGATGTTTTGATAATTGAACATTCTCTATCCGTCTAAAATATTTTCATCGATACAGTATTATTGCTACTTCTATCAGAAACAACTAGCAACTTTGTTATTTCAAACAGAACACCCTGTATTTTATTGCATTTAGATTTTTCCTGATGAGCTGAATTCATCTATGCAAGGTTTTTCCCAGTTTATTCAAATTACCTTTATGTTTATTCCAATGTATATTTTGTAAACGTTTTTGAATAAACTTATATTATTATTATTATTATTATCACACTTGGGGTCTAGCAGAAATGATTACAGAGATATGGGGTGTTCAAAATCGAGATTTTTCAATTTTGGGATTTTTTGTCTTGAAACTTCATTATCGATTGAAATGGCTCACATGTCCCTATCTTAGCTTTTGATTCACTATCTACTGGAATTCGCCTGATTTTCCAATTATTCTTTCTAATTTTTGAAAATTTTTCAAAAAACTCATGGAATATGTTGTTTTTTTTTTCTTTCAGAAGTATTTCCACATACGTTAATCACACATTTTTATCCTGGCTTTTCTGCTTTCAACGGGGCTCTCCATTTGTCAATTACAAAAAGATTCGATACCGATTTAATTGAAAGTTGGAAATTCGAATTTGAACTGACATTTTCTTGACATGAAAACACTGAAAGTGACAAAACTTTGGCATTTTGTTAAACGCTACCAACACCGAAAAACAATATGTCAAAAACAACGGTCATCGTAAAATGGTCTATTTCTCATTGAAGTTTATTCCAATAATTTCTGAAATCATAGATTCTTGATACTAGCGATGATAAAGAAATTATGACTGAAATGCAGAAGTACTTCGTTACGAAACATCATTTACCAAAAATTCAAAATTACGTAAAAGTTATGGAAACCTATTCAGATGTGCAGGTATTGCAAACATGCAATTGATGATTCAGTAATGATGAAAAATACCAACTTCGTAAACAACACTTCATTGACAATAAAATCGACTGTTGCTGGCAGTGTGTTCACAGATAAATCACAAGTGGATGGATCTATTTCATATGGACCAGTGAAACAAAGGCATCTTAAGCGAAACCAAATGTACTATCAATAATTCAACTTTTTGATTGACAAAACATTTTTTCTGACTTTTCTGACAAGTACCCAAAGGTCGCACAACTCTCGATTTCTATTCCACTGCCCTGTGCTGGAACCGCACTACATGGAAAAACCGAGCCAGTGCCACTTGCGCTCTGTAAATCGGCGAGTGACAAAACGATATGAGAATGATGACAATTCGGAAATGTCATTGATGACAAGCGTGCCCTATCATTTCAAAGGCCGTGAAATGAGACGTTAAATGGTCCAACAGTTATGAGCCTCAGATTGGACAGGTGCATCACATCGTCAAAGAATAACATTTTCGTTGAAGCTTCTTTGATGTAGTTCCAATGAACAACTTTATTTGAATAACATTAACAACAGAATGAAAATGAAATGATAATATGATTTACTAACGTGTTCAAGTCAAGTTGGAACCACACAATATCATAGTTACTTCAATCTGGATTTTCTTTAGATACTACTTATGACAAGAAACAACGAACAATTTCATTCACGAAGTGACCCAATTATATTAATACTATTTCAGTACCTATTCTTAGCATCATAATCTGTTTTCCACTAACCAAACCAAACCAGTTATAACGCATCTACACGTGTAGTGGTTATGTAAGCATCTTCAGGTGGATATCAAAACTGATTAAATTTGTAGTATACTTATTTGTAAGCGTACTAAATACGGCATCAAAATAGTACGCCTGCTTTCGTGAGATTCAATTTCTTGAATCTTGTCGACGGCACACTTAATTCTATTTTCCTTATAACCTATGATCAATTATTTTTTTGAAGCAAAATTTAGATATATATTATTTCCTCAACTCAATTTATCTTCAAAATTGATACATTTACACAATACGGTTTCACAACTAAACATAGGCAAGGCGGCTCGAAATCTTGATTACTGGTACTGGACCCTTCCATTTCTGAGGGCTCGAAATCTTGATTACTGGTACTGGACCCTTCCATTTCTGAGGTATTTTATTGTATAGTCATAAGACTTTGTTATCTGAGATATTGAGGTATGATGCCACTTGGGTATTACTCAAATTGGCCCAAGGATCAATATTAGTTCCATGTCTGATTTTAGTATTTTATTATGACCTGATTTCGATTGAAATATCAGAATTACTAATATACTTCAGCAGATCTCGTTTATCGAGAACAACAATAAGGAAGTTCTTTGTATCTTCTGAATTCATCAGAATGTTGAAAGTCGCCTATGATTCAAAATTCTTCAAATTAATGTCATCATTGTAGTGCAAATTTTGGTAGTTGCATTTTGAAATGTTGCCATTATAACGTATTTTTTCGGAAATCAACTTGACATTTTTTCAAATTAGCACCTGGAAAGAGTAACTGAAATAATTCTAGCTCTAGGGGAATAATAAACGAAAATATCCTTTTTCTGTAAACGGCTCAAAAGTTCCAAAATTAACTCCTGAAGTTGACGTTTTTTTTATTGACACAAAAATAGTAGATTGTTTTATTAGGATCAAAAGTGACACTTTGTTTGACAAGCGAATTTCGCATTTGCGAGGCGGAGCGTTTAGCGATGCCGAGCGAAAGCAAAATTTGCGAGTCGAACAAAGTCACTTTTGATCCGAATGAAACATGCTATTTTTTCTGCAACCGAAACAATAAACTCAAATAAACATGAAGTAACCACCAATGCCGTGCCACTATGTATGCAATGCAACAAATATTGACAAATAATCCATGTGGTGAGAATATTCTACCTGCATTAACAGCAGGTTAGGTTTTCAAGGATGTTGGAATTGAAGTTCCAATATAAATACAACCACAGAGTGATATATTTGTGTTTGTGCATGGACCAGGTGCTCTAATGGCAAATACCGCGCCAGTGCCAGCTATAGGAACAAGACGTGGAAAATGTTAGGTTATCAACAATGATAATAGTTAGTGATTATTTATTCCTCTCCATACTACACTGTGTTTGACTTGATAATCAAATGGAGCTGAACAATATCGTTGTTTGAGTCAAAAAAACTATTGCTTGCCGTGATTATTCAATAACAAGTTATCCATCCCGAGAATTATGAATGAAATACAGATCAAGCAAGTATTTGAATCTTGAAGGTTGAAGGCTTCCCTGATCAAAACAAAAATACTTATCAGAGATGTTTATAATTCCAATACTAAACTATAACAAGGTGTATTTATATCTCCAGCATGGGTATGAAATGCCAAATCTGCTGAAATCGGAAACAAATCAGGTATAAGTCTCAACCCAAATAACCAACCGTCACAATGTTGTTTATTCTTGATGACCTCCAGTAGGTACATTCTTTTTAGTTACTAGGAGCTAAAGTTCAACTTTAGCTCCTAGGAACTAAAATTCAACTTTAGCTCCTAGGAACTAGATATGTTGCCTAGCAACATATCTATTTTTGTGTCAGTAATAGAAACGTCAATTTAAGAGCTAATTTTGGTATCAAAATGGAGGACTTTTGTGTCGGTTGCAGAAAAAATTATTAGTATGTGTGATGCAATGCAACACTTTTAGTGTCTAAGAGCTAAAGTTGAATTTCAACTCCTAGGAACTGAAAACTAGTCGGATGACATCTGATATGATAGCTGCTATGACACTGACATGCTCAAGTGACTCAAAATAGTAATATTTTCACGTAAATATGTTATTAGGTATCAATTATTTCGATTGCAGAAAAATAGCATGTTTCATTCGGATCAAAAGTGACTCTGTTTGACTCGCTATGCCAACGTACCAGAGTAAAATCTCATGAGATGTTTCACAGTTATGAAGCAAAAACGATTTGAAAATTGTAGCTTCAGAGCCGTCTAGCGCCCAAACTGAGCAACTTTGTACTGAGGTGATTTTGCTTGTATGGAATGGTTTCGGTCTATGGAATTTGTTGTAATTTTCTGTAAAGACCTTCTAGGGTGCGTTCGATAATTTTGAATTGGAGCATGCCAATGAACAAATTCCTTCTGGAAAAGCATACATATTCAGTTATTTCTATTGACATCTGGTGGTTCAAAATATTTGTGTAATTTTGATATTATTTCAAAAAAACATAATAAATTGATAGATCATCTCTGGCTTATTTATTTCTTGTATAGTTGACTTGTGTATAAAAATACTGTCTGTATACAGTTCATATTATCTCATTTTTATCATATCATAAACTCTGTTCATCGATCATAACTTACCAGCGAATTCGTAAGCACGATCCAAATTATTGACCTGTTCAATAAGTACTTGAATAGCTGAAGTATTAACGTCGAATTTTCTGTAGATTGCGAAAGCTTCTTCATAAAGATGGTTATTGATAGCAATGTTGGCAATATCAGGAGCATCATAGTTATCTAAACGATTGATGTAATCCATTACTCTAGTTGCATCCGCCTTTATAGCTAAAACAATTCCAAAGATTCCAATTAAAGTGCAAACGTAAATAATATGAATGTTACCTGTCAAAATAAGGAGATTTTGAAGATTTCTATGTTCCGAAAATACAGAGCTATCAAGAACAATTTTTTCTAATAGCTCAATCAACTCATTGGGCAAATCAGCAGTCATGAAAGCCTTCACGGTTACAGATATATCTTCAGGATCTTGTGTTTCATTCAATGCAGTCTGAACCACTTGGTCAATCAATTGGCGTCTGATAAAATAAAAATCAAATAAAAAATAATAGAATCATTGAAGAAATTGTTCTATATTACCTGTAGGGGTTGGATTCTTGCAGAACTTCGGCCCACAGCTCCCCATCACGCCTGCGTACTAGATAGCGAGCTTCCGACTTGAACAAAGAGTTCTCATTACATACAGCAATTAGTTCTCTATCGCATTGACCACGTTCGTAGGCTACACAAGCCAAGTGAGGATCGCGTTTTTCACAATAACGTCCTACAACGCGAGAATCATACCTACAAAATTACAATAAATGATTTGTTGTTCGGTCAAAAAGCACTACAGAATTGACGTTACAAGGGATCTTTGACTAAAGGAGTTGATATGAAAATGGTAAGGCTTCAGCTACATTCAATTCAAGTAAAGGATTTAGGGCCATTCATTCGGAATGCTATATATTGCTGATTTTATTAATTTTGGACGCATGTTGATTCATCTGCTAGTTAATATCCCGATATCATATCCATAAAGACTCCAAGGTGTCTATCTTCAGATCACACTTGGCAGAAAAGCTCATTGGCTTATCATAGAGAAGAATAAGAAGAAGTTTTTGTGAAATAGGGAAAAGTATTGTTTCTGAAGGTCCATTCATACAAACATGAAGTTTTTAAAGTCATGAGTTCCTACATCCTGATTTCAAAAAGTTACAGAAGTTCTTGTAGTGAATGTGTACTTCTTGCTGAAAACGTGAATGCTAACACAGATTGTTCAATATATCACAATAAAAAAAAGCAGATCCTTATAATTTCAACTCAAGTTGAATTGTTCAATCTATGAGAAATTACCCCAGCTAACAATTATAAAGGATACTCCGCATCAAATTTATGTTCTCCCGTACAATTAATTTTTATTCTCGTAAGTAAAACATGTGTATTGATTATTATCGAAATACAAATTCCTTAGAATTTGAATAACAAATTATGTTGCTTGAAAACCACACGAGCGCATAGCTGAACAAGAAGAAATTTTCGATGAATAAAGCTTATTCCTTAAGATTATTTTATGAATAAAACAAAATGTGTTTAAACCTCGTATTTTCGATGAATCTTCATTGCAGTTTCTACGTCATTCAATTGACATACGCCAATGACCAATGAATTTAGTCACTTGAGTTTAGGTTGATTATAAATGTTTCTTCAAATTGCCGATTATACAAAAATTGGTATAAAATTATTCCATACCAGTATCTATCACGGTTTTGACCCAAGTTTAGTGTATAGTGTTATTAATATGTGGATATGAAAATATTATGACATTCATGACACCATTTTAATTACCAAATTAATATCGCGATTGAAATAAAATTCAGGGCAAAACTGGCGTCACCTCCGTACAAATTCATAGACTAGAAGGCACTGGATTTCATTCTTTTTTATTTCTTGTTCAATCATCAAGATGAAATTCACCATACCCTTGATTAAAAAGGCGGTAGTTGGATCTTTGTCATACCATACCTGACAATAATTTTATGAAGCACATGTCTTTATTTCAAAATATTCTTGAATACCCGTTATATCATCAGTAACTGATTTTACCTGTACATGGGTTTTAATTTTTTAGATAGGATGAGAATTCACGAATAACTTGGTGAATTGAAAATGTAAATCAACAACTTTTACCATTGATTCTCTTTCAGGAACCTCTCTGCATTATTGTTCGAGTCAATGTAGATTTTTGCTAGAGCATTGTGAGTAGCTGGCTCCACACAACCCTCATGCACCCTGCTTTCCAACCAGGGCAAGAGCAATTTCAATCTATTCCTCTTCTCGACCTCCTCAACGAGTTCGTCAGTAGAAAATTGACCTCTAACGACCAGAATCAAATTTTTAATGATGTCTTCGGAGCAATCGACATCGAGAAGGCCTCCAACAACCACCTGAAAACTCAAATTATACAGTGAAACATTGATTTTTTTCAACTCAGACTTACTGGAAGTCGGCTAGGATTGACTTTCTGAACATAAATTTCAATGTACTTCTGCAGGGAATTGCGGTACAAATACAGGACTAGGTCATGGACGAAATCGAAACGATCACAAACAATAATCAGAGGCAACTGATCAGTTAGTTTGGCTTCTTTCAAGAAATTCTTCACACGTTCGGGATTGTAACAGTTTGATTCTCGGCAAATACGTTCAACTTCCTTTATCTGTCCCGTTTTGCAAGCGGCTTGAATGTACTTAAAATGTACCTCCTCATCTTGGGAGAAGTTGACAATGGATCCCAGGAAATAAAATAGACCTACAAAAAATCAAGGTTGACATAAACACCTACAGACAGCAAATGTCAAAAATTATACCTTCGTAGCTTTTGAAGCTCTCGAATAAATCAATTAATGCTTTGGTAGTCAACTGCTCATGATACTTTGTGGCAATCTGTACACAAATTTGCAAGTTCTGTCTGATGTTTGCAGTCAACATAGCTTTCAAACACTCCAAACTGTCCTCCACGCTCAATGTTCCAAAAAAGTTTACTAGCCAATCTGCTGGTAAGAGGTGAGTGTGTACAACAGCTCGTTTAATGTCATACAAATCGGTGTAATGTTCTAAAGCTCGTTGCAAAAGACCGGATTTTTCACACAACTGGGCAATGTGTGCTCTGTCATAATGTGTAAACATATTGTTACCAAGTATAGCGTCAGCGACTTGAGGAGCTGACATTAGATTCATTTCTAGCAATCTGTAAAAAATCAACATCACAACTGTGCTCATAAATTTGATCATTACTAAAACTATCTGATAAATAATAATAATAATATAAGTTTATTCAAAAACGTTTGCAAAATATACATTGCTCCCAGTTTTTTTTTTTTTCAAGTTGATGGTTCATGAAAAATATAATTCAAGTCTGACTCATCAGTAATACTGAAAATATAATGAAATGTGTCATGCATTTCAATAAAAGTTATGCATTTCAATGAACGTTCCAGCTACATAATTACTAATGTATAACTTGGTATAAAAATAATGCATCCTTCATATTCATATTCATCATATTCATTTTATTTTCCATAAAAACTCGTTAGTTTGGCAAAAATATGAAAACAAACCGATTGATAAAATCACGAATCCGTTAGGACAAGTGATTTTATATATTTCAGTTTGTTTCAATGTGTTTGTCTCAAATAAGAAAGTTTGAGTAATGAAAATGAAATATTATGATGAAATTTGAAAAAATCATATTTGTCACTAATGAAATTGAATATCTGGGCTAGATATTGCTATATTTTATATAACGTTGACTCAGATAGGTAAATATCAAGTGGAAGCTGATTATATAATAATTCATTGATTATCATCAATTGTGTACTATTTTTTGACGAGTAGGAAACAATTTCAAAAATCAGACATAAAAACCTTACACTTTTTGAATATATTCTCACTTTTATATCCTTTGTACATATATTATGAACTAATAATAACCGTTCAGTATGAATTAATCTTATTGGCAAGAGCTAATTTAATTTAACTTTACCTTGTTTGGAGATTTCCTTCTGTGGGTCTATTATTTTTCAAAGCATCCAACAAAAAGGCAGTACACTGTTGAACCATGTTCTGTTCCATAAATATGTCTACAATTTGATTGATATCTGCTAAAGGTTCTTCGTCGGCAACGAGCATGCTAGCGAACGCAGCACCTTGATCGGGATTAGTGCGCATGACTTGACGGAGAAGGAAAATATAATCGGGAGTGTAGGACACTTTCTTGGCATAAAACACGATCTTCTGGAACTGCCCAGTTTCGGCAAAGCTTTGGATAACCTTGAAATGAATTTGAAGCTCAATGATACATTTCTTACAAAACTTTTCGATAATGAAAAGATCGACCAGGGAAAATAACAATGAAAATATTCAGTCAACGTTATTGCTGATTATTTATTTATTAGGCACATGCACAAAATAATTCAAGTACAAATTAATCATAATGGCTTGTTTGACAACATTTCACGAGTAGAAGAAAGACAGAATTCAAGAAAAATGACTGATACAATTTTGCATAATCGCGAAGGAAATAGGAATCAAAATGTGACACACCTGTATTTATTCAGTCATGTATCAGTCATTTTTTGACGTATTTGAATGTTCCACATCTTGTTCAATTCAGAAAAGTTCGCGCTTTCAGAATATCATACGCAAATATATACAGTGGGACTCAAAAAAGTTCCAGCAAGTTTAAATGTATGACCAAGTTTAGGCGGTTCCGCCATTTTGTTTCCTGGCAAAATTTGAAAAATATGAAGTTGACGTTTTGTCTTGTTCAATTATCTTTCAAACAAGACCAAAATCAATGAAGTATTGGATATTGTTTGGGATGGAGACCATGATGTTCCTTTCACCATATTATATCGTTTGGGAAATGACATGGTAGAGCGTGAAATTTTCAGAAATAAAAATAAGTAGATATGATCTTCATACAGAGTGGGCCTTTGAAAACGAAACAGAGGCTCTGTAGGTCGCCAAAACCGGATTATGAAAAAAATCTGAAACACGCCAAACAACATTTTCGAGGGGACATCGTTCTAAAATATTTTCAGCTCTGCGGCGTTGCCGCTTCTAATGAAAAGAAGCAACAACTTTGTTATTTCAAATGGAACACCTTGTATTTTATTGCATTTTTAGATTCTCCCCGAAGAGCTGACTTCATCAATGCATCACACTTGGGGTCTAGCTGTAATGGTTTTATTCATTATTGGTCAAAACGGCTTTCATGTCCCTATCTCAACTTGTGATTCACTATCTACTAACATTTAATTGGAACAGATACAGGGTGATCAGAATTCTGAATCTTGAACCATCCTGTATTTGTTTCAAATAAATGTCAGTAGATAGTAAATCACAAGTCGAGATAGGGACATGAGAGCCGTTTTGACCAATAATGAATAGTTTGGACACAAAAAAATGCTAAAGTTTGAAAAATCTCGATTTTGAACACTTTATATTCCTGAAACCATTGCAGCTAGACCCCAAGTGTGATGCATTGATGAAATCAGCTCTTCGGGGAGAACCTAAAAATGCAATGAAATACAAGGTGTTCCATTTGAAATAACAAAGTTGTTGCTTCTTTTCGTTAGAAGCGGCAACGCCGCAGGACGGAAAATATTTTAGAACGATGTCCCCCTCGAAAATGTAGTTGACGTGTTTCAGATTGTTTTCATAATCCGGTTTTGGCAACCTACAGAGCCTCTGTTTCGTTTTCAAAGGCCCACTCTGTATAATCACCTGAAAATTGGCGATGATAAAACTACAAAATAAATAGCCAACCTAGACAACCTGAGAAAGCAGGTCAATAACAGATTACAAAAAGGCGAACAAAATCTCATTATTAAATACATCGAAAATGTCTCAACAGTCATCGATATTGAAAAAAAACTAGAAAAGAACGTCATGGACTGGTCTATAGTATCTACAAACATGGCCTCATTACCCGCAAATTTTGATGACTTCGTTAGTTTCATCAAAACCATCAATCCCTCAGTAATTATGATTTCAGAAACTTGACTGATTGAATATATACCTGATTCACTGTTTAATTTGAATGGATATTCAATATCTTGATTCGATAGAACTGATAAAATTGGTGGAGGAGTTTGCATATATACCCATGACAGCAACACCAAGAATTTCCTAGTTACAAACATGTATTTCCACTGTATCAACATTGAAACTATCACCCTCTCATTGACCTCCGCATTTTTCAGCTTCCTATTAGTCTGTAAATACATTACTTCCTTCAATGTGGGGGGTACATTGAATTTTTTGAACGGGTCAACGAAAAAAATTGAAACTTGGTGTAATGAAGTTCATACATGAATACTATATTTTTGAGTAAAACTGACAGATGAAAATTTCAAGATGGCGACTGGGCGTCATAGTAGGTATATATTAGCAGATATAACACAAAATTGATATTAATTAAAGTTAATTGATGACCGGGCAAACCTAGAGCAGGTGCATAATCATCAGAGATGATGAAATGTATTCAATTGGTCACATAGAGAAACATCTCAAAAGGGGAATTATGGAGGTAGACAATAAATGCAGACGCTGTATCAGATGGTTCATTAAGCCAATTTAATAAATACTTCTCAGCCAGCATATGTGGTAACATTTTTTTTTCGTATGTGGTGTCAAGTATATGAAAGCAATACGATTTTAATAACTTGTGTTTGGTTCATCAGGAGTAAATTCATTATGTTACATCTTGCATTATGCGAATATATTTCAATTGAGACTAATATATCTTGTTAGTAGGTAATTTGAAAAATTATTGAAGATGCTATTAGGGTACTTGTGAGTTTTCCAATAAAAGTCTTGAGAGATACTCGAAAACGGTTCAAAATATATTGCCAATAAATTCCGTGACAAAATTTTATATTGAGAAAACAAGTAAGTAACGACTCTCGAATAACAAACTCAAAGAAATCATGGCACTAGATTACAATAATTTTGAATGACATATTATGACAAATATATATACTGGACGATGAATCTTCTACATTCTCCCCTACGTGAAGAAGTCTTCACTAATTCTCAGTAGAAGTGGGCAGTATGCATAATTTGGAAACAGGTCTGGTGTAGCTCCCTCTTTTCGTAACTACCTTAGCTACTCGAATTACGCCATCCTTCCCTGGATACGTCTCAGCTATGCGTCCCATCAGCCATTCTGTTCTCGGTGCCTTTTCATCGACGATGACTACCACATCACCAACCTTCACTGGACTAGCTCGATCGTGCCATTTCTGTCGGTTGACCAAGCTAGGTCTATATTCCATAATCCAACGTTTCCAGTACAAATCTGCAAGTGCTTGAGAAAATCTCCATTGTTTTCTTGTGGAAATTGAATTTTCAGCACATGATGAAACACCTCCTGGGCGAAGAAGTAAGAAGTGGTTTGGGGTGATTGCGACAGGGTCATCAGGGTCTACGGATATATGGGTGAGGGGTCGTGAGTTCACCATATATTCTGCTTCACATAAGAGTGTGATGAGAACTTCTTCTCTTGGTTTTACAGTCTTCAATGATATCTTCAGTGCCGTCTTAATGGACTTCACCATTCTCTCCCAGACACCAGCCATATGAGGAGCGCCTGGGCAATTGAATTTCCATGTGGTTCCATTCAGGGCAAGGTCGTTGGATATTCTATCATGGTCTAGCAAATTCACCCACTCTCGTAATTCTCGCTCAGCTGCTACGAAATTTGTTCCACAGTCAGTCCAAAACTCCTTTGGTTGGCCTCTTCGAGAGATAAAACGCCTTATAGCCATAACTGTAGAACTAGTATCTAGCGATGCTGCCAACTCAATATGGACTGCTCGAATCGAGAAACAGGTAAATAGAACGCCATACCTTTTTTCATTTCTGCGACCTACAGCAACAGTAATTGGCCCAAAAAAGTCGATTCCCACAAAAGTGAAGGGGAAAACATGGGCTTCCAGTCTTGATGGTGGCAATAGGCCCATCTCTGGCACTGCTGGATTACATCTTCTCTTTCTGCATTGCAGGCAAGTATTGAAACATCTTTTGACGGCCACACGAACATGCAGAATCCAAAATTTCAATCTCAAATTGTTTATCACTGTCTCTATCCCGAAATGTCCAGCTTCCCTATGATAGTGATCAATTAGGAGCAATGTGTACCTATGCTTGGGGTCTAGAACAATCGGAAATCGAGAGTCATAGTCGAGATCGAGTCTGTCTGAATCAGGAAATCTTCCACCGAGACGAATCATGCCTTTCTCATCGAGGAATGCAGACAACTTGTACAAACGACTGGACTTTTCAAGGAGGCCGCCTTTCCTGAGAGTTTCGATTTCTTCAAAAAATGATATCCTTTGGCTCTTGAGAATCCACCGCTTCGAGGCTTCTTCCAAAAGGTTCACGTCCAGGCTTGCCTTTCGTGGCCTGTCTTGTTTTGCTGTTAGCCAGATTTTCTTTATGTACAACACCCAAGCTGAAGAGCGAATAAGTCGTTTCCATTGAGAAAATCTCTCTATGTCTGGCAATACTGACGTATCCTCAGTTTGTTTGATGACCAGAACATATTCACCATCTGCTCTCACATCTGCTACGGGTTCTTTAGGCCAGAGTTCATCAGTATACTTCAGAAAAGGAGGTCCATTCAACCATGAACTATCGGATCCGAAATCAAGAGATTTTATATCTTTTGTAGCTTGATCGGCCACATTCATCTCAGATGGAATCCAATTCCATTGCGAAATAGAAGTTTCTTCTTGAATTTCACCAATGCGGCAGGCAACAAACATAGGAAATCTTTTGGAATGGGATCGAATTTGTTTGAGTACCACCATGGAGTCAGTCCAGTAAAAGACTTCTTGGACTGCATATTCAATTTCATGGATGATTGATTTGGCTACTCTACAAGCTAAAACAGCTGCTTGTAACTCCAATTTCGGGATTGTTTGCTGCTTCAAAGGTGCCACTTTATATTTGGAAGTCACCAGTGCTGTTGATACTCCTTCACCAGCTTCAACTCGAAAATAAGCAGCTGCTGCGTAGGCTTTGTCGCTAGCATCACAAAACACATGCAGTTGTACCTTCTGAACCAGTGAAACCTCTGGAAAATAGTATCTGGGAATGGAGATAGGTGTTAGGCTCTGGAGTTCTATCAACCATTTCTTCCAAGTTTCAAAATGTTCTTCTGGTATTCTAGAATCCCAATCGATACTGGTTTTCCAAATTTCTTGCATCAACAGCCTCCCTTTCACCAATGAAGGTGCAAGAAAACCCAAAGGATCAAAAAC